TAGTGATACTGCCTCGGAAACCCAAGGAGGGGTCGCTATGAGTCGGGGCCGACTCGATGGCAAATAACAACAACAACAATGTGTACAACCAAAAATACTTGCCTCATTTATATCTTATATTTTATAATAAGTAATGAAATAAGGGCAGGAAGAAAACAAAGATATTCTAGATATATGTGTATATGTGCATATATGTATATATATACACACATATGCATATATGTATATATATGCATATACATACATACATATACACAAGCATAAAACAAGGAAGAAGTATTCAAAACAATTACAATCCTCATTTCTGCAACTGGTCACATAGTTGTAGCTGGTACTTAGAACTACCTTCTTCCCACCACCTATTCTATATTCCCTTCATCCTCTGTAAACACCTCACCTCAGCTGGTCATAATTCTTTGCCTGGTGGAGTGACCCAAGCCTTCATTTCTGAAGGGTCTGGGCCATTTGTAGTCATGTCAGAACTGGGTTATAGTTTTCCGTTGACTTTAATCACAGGTCATGGTAGTACTAAGAGACATCCTAAGGGATCTCCTGTATTGCAGACATACTCTTCTTTACCTCCATTATGCAATATCAGTCCAATTTCCTCTTGATAATCAAGATTAATCACACCAACAGGAGCTCTGGTAACGTAGTGCCTAAGGCATTTGACTGCTAACCAGAAGGCTGGTGGTTCAAACCCACCAGCCACTCCTTGGAAGGAAGATTGGGCAATCTACTTCTGTAGTGACATTGCCTCAGAAACCCAAGGAGGGGTCGCTATGAGTTGGATCCAACTCAACAGCAGTGAGTTAATCACACCAACCAATATAGTAACTCCCTTCATTGCCTCTTGATCCAGAAGCATGAGGAGCCCAAGTGGCCAGGTGGCATTCTTAACTTCCAGTTCAATGGAATCAGTGTTGTATTTCCAAATGGGAGCATCCCTCCCTTTAGAACTAAGACCTCTAGACCTGCAGAGGATAGGGCCATGAGCAAAATTTTTGTGAGAGAGTCACTAGGGATAATAGTGAGTGGTGCCACTCCCATTTCCAACTCTTGTTTCCTAGACCCATGAGTCCTGGCTATGGGAGAAGCAGC